ACATTGGCCAGCCATTCAGGGTAGTTTACTTCCCTGATATGACCTACCTCAAGTAGGTCCTTGACCTCTTTCTTCACAAAGTCCCTCCTATCACTTGCCAAAAATCTCTTCTTCTGTCTTACAGGCCTAGACCCCTCAAGAACAGAGAGACGATGGCAAATGACTGACCGGTCAATCCCGGGCATATCAGCAATACTCCAAGCAAATAATGATTTATACCTGGTCAACACCTGGACAATCTCAGTCCTTAGCTCTTCCTCAAGGTCAGCCCCAATTTTGACCTTTCTCTCTGGATTGGAGGCATCAATCTGGATCTCCTCCGTGTTTGCATCCGGCTCGATCCTAGCCTTCTCTTCACCCTTGTCTACCTGCTGGGAGACCAATTCAATTTGTTCGAACTGGCGGGTCATCTTCTTGACTGCTTCCAGGTAGCAGGACCAGGCGTTCTTTTGATCACCCCTTTCCTCCCCGATTCCATTGGGAGTGTAAAACTTCATGCATAAGTGTGCCATGGAAATAATAGCCCTGACCTGGTTGATCCGAGGCCTACCCGGAATGGCATTATGCACACACTTGATGTCGACCACAACAAATCTCATTTGTTTGGTCACTGTCCTGTTACCCGACCCCAAGGTAACTGGTAAGGTGATCTGACCTTCCGCTTCTATGCTAGCTCCAGTGAAGCCTGACAATGGAGTTTGCAACGGTCTCAACATGGACCTGTCCAGCTTCAATTTCTTGAAAGCATCCAAGTATAGAACATTGACGCTGCTTCTTGTGTCAACCAGGACCCTGGCCACATCAGCTCCATTGATGTCCATTGTAATAACCAAAGGGTCATTATGATCTCCCCCCCGTCCTTGGCAGATCCCTATCAGTGAAAGTGATAGGTTCCCTCCTTGCCTGCTTCCCATGTGACTCTAGGGAAACCACCGCCACATGCAAACTCCTGGCCCAGTTCTTCCGCTGGGAGGCAGTATCCCCGCCTTCCCCGACAATCATCTGTATAAATTCTTTATCCGGATTGTTGTTATCCTTCCCGGATTTTCTCCTTCCCTGGTCTTTTCCCTGATGACGGGTCCAGGTGTTCGCTTTCGGGTCTTTCTTATTACCCGTCGCGTAACCTTCCCCAAGCTCTCCTTTCAAGGCCATCTCCTTGAGCACAACCTTGACATTTCGGCAATCCGCCGTGTTGTGGGAATCGGATTGGTGGTATGTGCACCACTTCTCCGTCCATTGTCTCTTGGGTTGCTCTCCCTTCTTATCATCCCTTATTTGGTGGATGGATCCGTCATATGTGGCCTTTAGTTTGAACCCTCCTGTCTGCTCATCCTTCTTTGGCTTGTCGGATTTCGACTTTGTGTAGCCTTCTTCCAGCTCCCGCTTATTCTTGTTCAGCACTTCTGCCTCGGCATATTCCCATGCCGTATTGTAGGCTTCCTGATAAGAGGAGGGCGGCCTCCTACAGAATTCAGTGTAGAGGTCACCTGACCGGAAGGCATTCATCAACAAAGACATGGCCATCTTATCGTCCATCTCTTCTACCTTGTCAACCTCGTCCCTCCAGCGGGTTAAGAATTGAGTCAAGGTCTCCTTCTCCCTTTGCCCTACCGTGTTAAGGTAGGTAAATTTCTTCCTCTTGATGCAGTTGTCCTGGTACTTCTTGCGGAAAACTTCAGCAAGTTTCTCAAAGGACCCAATCCTGCCATGGGGAAGGCCGTTAAACCATTCCACTGGCCTCCCTCTCAACGATGAGAAGAAGAGCAAGCACTCCTCAGCATCAGTGCACCCGGCCATCTGTGCTGCATTGTGGAAGGTGTCAAGGTGGACGTTTGGATCCTCCTTTCCTGTGAATTTCTCCACGTCCAGCTTAATCTTCCGCCTCAACCTCTGCGCATGTACCCTGGCCGAAAAGGGAGATTTAGCCAAGGTGTGTTTTTTCGCTCCCGCCTTCTC